AAAATAAACCTAAACAATTTGCTTATATCTATATTGATCGGAAAGGAATCGATTTGCATGAAACATAAACTTTTGTATTTTGTAAGTTTGATTCTATTAAAAGAAAATTAAAAAAAAAAAAAACTAATCAAAACAAGAGAAAACAATTCTAATCATCATCGGTATCAAAATATAAATTTTTCATTCGAAGAAATTTCGTTACTAATAAATGTTTTAAACTATTAGTTACATTTTTTATTTTTAGCACTTGCTTTTTTAATTTGAATACATTTGGAATAGCAATTTTAAAGAGTCAACTTATCCAGTGTTCCTTAAAATGTTTATTTCAAAAAAATTATTTTTTCATTAATTTTCATTAGTTCATCAAAAGAAACAATGGATGGAAACAAATAAATTAAATTCTCTAGAAGTTTGATAAAGGGTTTTTTTTTTTTTTTCCAAAGTTTAATAAATGTTGAATAGCAGTTGTTTACATATCCCTTTTAAAAAATAAAATTATAAATAGAAATTTTTATTTATAGAAAAAAACATTTCTCTCTTGTTTAACATGCACGTGCCATTAATGAGAGCGGGGTTGTAGCATCTGGTAAGATCACCTTACCTAGTCGGCAGAGAGGGCTTAAGTTGGTTTGCTGTGCCTTCTGTCTCTTTCCCTTCTTTCTGATAATGCTTAAGCTCTTAATCATCAGATCAATAACAACAGGTATGTAATAGTATCATTTCTTTTTTTTTTTTTCTTTTTTTTTCATTTTTCTTCTTTTTTCATGCAAATTCAATGATACCCAGTTCTCCTTTTCAGCTTATTTTATCAGTTTTTTCTCGACTTTTTGCACTCTTTAAGCTTTAATGAGTTCACTTTTCCTTTTTGTCTATCGGGTTTTCACTATAATTCAGGTGTTTCCAGAATGCCCAATCAATATACTGCTTACCAAATAAACAATTCTAAGCATGTTTATGACAATTAGTAACCATGTTTCTTCGAGTTCTTTGATTGGTAGTTGGAAATTCAGGCCTTTAAATTGATATTTGGTGAAAATTTTTTGGTTGTTTCACTCATTGTTGACTCCCATTATTGAATCAGCTATGATCATTTTTTTCTTCTTAATTCTTTCCTTTTTCCTGGTTTTCCCCTTCCTGGTACCCCATTTCCAATGTAATATCATGAGGATTGTTGTTTCTCTAATCTAAAGGATGCTTCAAAACTGAATTCTTTAATGTATATTTTTTTTATGGTTAAGTACTGATTAAGTTGTAATCTTTAATGTCAGTTGAGCCCCTTTTTAGCACTTTAAGCCAAAAAGTTTGATAGGATGCTTGAAAATTGAATTTTTAATGTATGTTTTTTATGGTTAAGTACTGATTAAGTTGTAATCTTTAATGTCAGTTGAGCCCTTTTTTGCACTTTAAGCCAAAAAGTTTGATAATCTTTTTTCACGCTTGCATTGTATGACTTGCATTGTTCCTTACGATGAAAGCCAGTTAAACTGTTTGCAATGGAGGATTGTATGTGCTTTGGCTGTCCCCAAGGCTCGTCCCTTTTATTACCTTTGACTTGAACTAAGATTTTTTTTTTTTTTTTGGTGCATTAAAGCAGATCTGGAGTAGATTAAGGCACCTTGCTTGGGATTACTGAGTTTTAACTCCACTTGGTAAATAGCTTTGGCATTGTAGTAATGGCAATTTAAGTATGTTAATGTTCAATAAGGCTAGTCCAATACTAGAAAATCGAGCTAAAATAATAACAGCAAGGTATTTTCATTAGATTTTAGAAGTATTCAGGAATTTTTTTGGCTTTCATTTTGTACCTATGCAAGGATGGGTAAGAGCTAGAGACCACTGAGGATTATTGACCTTAGAATCATCCAAAGTAACTCTTCCCGTAGATGATAAAGCCTGTTTTCTCTTTCTGACATTATCCTTATCTTAGCTATTTCTCCAAAACAAATGGCCTTGTCCATGGAATTGCAATGGTTTCAGCATTATAAAGTGTTGAATGAACAAAGATGATTTCTGCATTATCAAGCTACCTTCCTAAAGTTGGCTTCTAAAATTTTATTTAAATACCTTCAAATAGGTTCTGTCTGGCTGGCTTTATCTCAGTGAAATTTTAAGACAATGCACCCTCGAGGTTACATTGCTGAAATTACAAGCTTATCTCCAAAAGCTACAGAGAAGGATGTTTGTAACTTTTTTGCTTACTGCAGTGCAATTGAGCATGTTGAAATTATCAAGGTAGTCTTTCGCAACTCAGTTTTTGGTCCTGAATATGTACCACAAATTACACTCCATGATAGTGTATTTTCATGATTTTTGTTCAAATTTATTGTGGTGGATTTTCATGTTTTTGTTCAAATTTATTGTGCATTTGTAAACTTGTTTTAACTTATTGTTCATTGGTTGTTTCAGAAAAAAAGTCAAAAGCTATGAAGTCATTTATCTGAAACGATTTTGTTTTTGGATACTTAATAATCTCAATCTTGATTTTTATGGAATATCAATCTTTTTTAGTAGAACTTCTTCAGGTTATGATTCCCATAATTTGTACAAATGTAACTTAGCAGCTTGCTCCTTTTTCCTTTCTTGTGACAGATTTCTTGAATCAAGGAGGGTTTTATAATCAAGCTGTTTAATTTTACTCATTGTTTACAAATCTTTTAGGAAAAGTCAAAAGTGAGGAGTTCTTTTGTCTGAAATGCTTTCTTGTTAGATATTTTGTACTTTCTATCTGTTTAAATATGGAAATCAATCTCTTTAACAGAATCTGCCCAGTTATATGAATATGACTCCACAATATGTACAAATTTAAGTGCCGTTTTTCCTTGCCTGTGACATATTTCTTGCACTAATGAAAGTTTACCATAATCAAGCTGTTTAATTTACTTTTTCTTTAACAGAATCTGTCCACTTCTTTTGTAGGTATGCCTTAGTGTGATGTGATTAGCTGATGAATAATTGCTTATACTTTATCATTCATTTAAACCTAAGATATGAGTAATTTGATGCTGACACTGATAGAAGTAGGTTCTGGAGTGCTCATGTGAATATCATGCAAATGTGACTGGCTGCTCATTATTGGAGTGGTGTCATACTTGTTTTGCATGATCTCTTTGATTCTATTATTTCTTCAAATTCATGCTTTAATGAAGAGAACTGCTTTCTTTACTGAAAACAGATGTGGGGAATATGCATGTACAGCTTATGTGACATTTAAAGATGCTTATTCACTGGAAACTGCCGTCTTACTCAGTGTAAGCTCTGATTCATACTTCTGGAGAGGGAAATGACTGTCATTTCTTTTCTGAAAAAAAAAAAAAAAAGAAAAAAAAAACTTCTGAGTGAGTTGTTTTTGCTACCTGGATGGTCTGGATCCTCTTCTTTCCTCAGTATGTTTGTTTTGGTTTTGATATGTGACCATTACATCCTGTATGCTCGAAATGTATTAACTCTGATATGCATATCATCTTATCTAACCGATAAATAGGCTTCCAAGTAATGCTGCAACTCATCTGATATTCATCTAGTTCCTGCAATTTGACTTTAGCAGAACCACATAGATAATGTTACAATATCAACATCCTGTGTGTCCGTAAAGACTTTAGAACTTTTTTTGAATGTCCTTATCTATCCAGGGACCTGGTATAAGTTTTAGTGCATCAGCTTCATGTAACTTATCCTAGAAGCGATTGCTTCTCTTTAAATTTGTATAACTGGTAATGTGCACCGTTTAGTGACTTATATCAGACAATAAATTATTGGATATTAATAAACATTTCTGATCAACTAACTTCCAAACATTTCCTTATTGGAAAAACTTGCTGTTGTCCTTTTGGTTTTATGAAACACAGGTGAGGTTGTTGTCACAAATGGGTAAATGTTTGGAAAGAAGATTAAAATTATGAATGAAGATGTCGATCTAATTGATTTCTTGAGGAACTAGTGACTTCTGGTATGGAGACTAAATGAAAATGAGACTTATTCTTTCAATTTCTAATTGAGAAAGATAATTTTTAAGATAATCTCTTAATCTCTTTCCTTTTTCAATCAATACAGAAAATCTCATTAGCATGCTGATGTATGGTATCTTCTTCCTCTAAATTTTCCTTTAATTGAGTTGACTAGTGATGACTGATGATTTCTTTATTTGTTCAGCACAGACACAGAAAAAGAAAGAGGAGGGGGGATGACTCCTTAATTCTTCAATTATTTTAGTTTATTTTCTATGCTGTTTGAATGTTCTCTGAACTCAAGATTGCAGGGATGTCATTGAACTTTAGCAACTTAACATCATGACCCTACCTTCCTGATATTTTGTAGCTATTGTTTCTCTCATTATTGCCCAAATTTTCACGTATCAGGGAGCTACAATTGTTGATCAGTCTGTGTGCATATCGAGGTGGGGTTCGTACATAGATGATGGATATCCTTGGGATGGTTCTTCATGGAAGACTGAAGAGGATACTAGCTCAACGGTATGCATTAATTTCATTAATGAGGACAGCAAGTTGATTCTCGGTTCACTACCCCCCATAAGCACATGTTACTTATTGGACTCTCAGTAAGGGACACCAACATGAGTGTGTGATTTTGATATTTTTCTCAGTTGCCTTTAGAAATTCCATGGTTGGTACATCTTGAATTTTGTGAGATTAAACAGTTACTTCATGATTGGTTGGTATATCTTCAATTTATTGTGTATCAAAATATGAAGAGCAGATATTAAGTTAATATAAGTGTTGAAGACCGTAATAAGTTGTTGTTCTCTCAAGATTATTTACATTCTGAGGTTACTATCTTAATCTGCTCCTAGATTCATAATTAGGGAATGGTATATAATGCAAGATGATTTTTGGCATGATGAAGAAATTCGGAACTATCCACAAGTTGGGATCATCTGACATCTCTGCAACGGTCTTATCTACTGTTTTGCTTGATTTGTCTTAGTTTTGCTGGTCAGAACGAAGAGCAACATGGGTCATGGGAACATTTTTGCTTTTCTATGACCAAAAACAAAACTTGCCTAATTATTTATTAACTTCATGTAAATAGAATATTTCTATTTGGTATCGATACTAGTTGTCATTCTCTGTTTCTTAATATGCCTTTTTCTTATTTAATTACTGATCATATCTAAGAATTTTTCCTAATGGCTCAATTGATTATTATATCTGCTTGCTTAGCATAACGAGTAATCCAAGTTAATGCTCTCACATGCTTCCAATAATTTGATGAATTGTTTCTTGGAATGATTTTGCATGTAAAGGATAATGGTATTGCACTTCGTCGTTTCAGTTGCTCTCTATCAGTTATCAAGCTAAACCATCCATAATCTTAGCAGGTCACTCATATGGATCAATTTGTTTCTACTCCTGGAGAAGCCGTGACTATTGTCAAAACAATGCTAGCCAAGGGATTTGTTTTGGGCAAAGATGCTCTTATCAAGGCCAAAGAACTTGACGATTCCTACCGGGTCTCAGCTACTGCAGCAGCCAAGGTTGCTGAGCTTAGCAATAGAATTGGCTTAACTGATAAGATCAACACTAGCATGGAAACTGTGAAATCAGTAGATGAGAAGTTTCATGTTTCAGACATCACCAAATCTGTTGCATTAGTTACTGGGACTGCAGCTGTAATGGCAGCAACTTTTGCTGGGAGAACTGCTGTAGCAGCTGCCAATGCTGCAGTCAATAGCAGCTATTTTGCCAAGGGAGCCCTTTGGGTTTCTGGCAAGTTAAGCCGTGCAGCTCAAGCAGCAGCTGATCTGGGAAGCCATGGTAACAAACAAACAGAAACTTAAGTTTCAAATAACACCCTGTCAGTAGTCTCTCTTCCCATCCTTTGTTCTTGCATAAAATAATAGTCTTTCTGTTTGATACCAGTCTAGTACACACAACTGTACAATGACTTAGAATCTAGTCCTGCCCCGATTTTAGCATGTTAGATGTGTAAATGTAGTATTTATAAGCGAAGATTTTGAATTTTTGTATCTTTCAATTTGATGCATGACTTCTTGCTTTAACTCTGAAGAGGAAAGGAAATATCACATGTTCACCATTTGTCTTGAATCTGGGTTCCTATGTTTGATTTTGAAGGTGACCTCATCTTGTAATGTGAGGAGTAGATCTGATGTTAGAGTCTTCAGTTCGCTGATGAAATTGACTCATGTCGGTTTTCCAGCTTGTTCTGCTCCGCTGAATGCGTGATTCTGACCCCATATCACAATGATTTCATTTTTTGTCATTGTCCCATCTTAATTCATGCTGGTATGTGAATACAAATCATACCCTGTTATATCAGGACTCATTTAAGCTGGTCCAGCAACAAGTTGTGAATTGTTTTAGCAATTGACTAGTGTTGTAAGTAAATTTAATAATTTAAAATACAATTAATAATATAAAATTAATATAAAAAATATAAATATGAAACGATATAAAATTTTAATAAAAATTATATACAAATTTAATAAAATTCACATAAAATTTTTATATAAAATACAATATATATATATATAAATTATTAGTTTTTTTCATTATACAAATTCACGGACGATTAAATCTAGTTGTAGGGAAAGTGTAGCAGCTAGAAAGCCAAGATAGTTGACTACCCTAGAGCAACGTTCAGCATCCAAAAGAGAATTCTAGATTTCAACTCACTTTATATCTTTCCATTTGTGATTCAAACGCATACAGAAATAAAAGCTTTGGACTGCTTACTTGTTGCTTTCACATTAAAGAAGCTGGCTTAATAGCGCTCACGTCCGGTAAAAAATAATTAATGATGAACAATAATAAACAGAAAAGTACAAAAAAAAAACTTGAATTCTAATAAACAAAAGAAGAGGGTCAGTGTTATTTTTATCATACTTTGTATTTAATCATGTAAAAACTTTAAATAAATCCATTAATGTTGTACAATTGGAATTATTTTTTACTGTTTAAATTAAAAACAACAGTACTTTATTTTGTTGATGTTTAATTCTATCTTTCAACAGTTTTGAAATATATTAGGCGAATTTCCATGTTAATTTATTTTTTTATTTTAAAATTTGTTAATTTATTTAGACATTTTAACAAATCGGGAGCTTCTAAAAAATTATTACCTTTGTAAAAAATGAAAAAGTATGTATCGTGATTTGTATTTTAAAATTTTATAAAATATATTAATTTTTTCAATTAAACTGTGTCTCTCGTGAAGCACGGGCAACAAATATCTAGTTTACATGATACCCCCTTTTGGCACATGAATCAAAATCTGAAATACCGTATAAATTAAGGGTAATATTGTAACATATAATATTTTATTTTTTAAAAATATATATATTAATATTAATTATTTTGATATATTATTATAAATTTTTTAATTTAATTTAAACATATTATAAATAGATATGAACTTGTATATAATTATATTATTAATAATTTATAAAATAAATATATAATATCTTAAAAATCAAATAAATAAGTTTTAAAATATAACAAATAATATTATCAATTTATCATGATATTTTTGAATACTTAATTTAATTATATGATATTTTAAATAAGTGTTTTTCATAAAAAAAAATATATTAAGATAAAACTAAAGAGATGAAAAAGAAATTAATTTTAGTTTTTAAGATTCTTAAACTTTATTGAGAGAGTATAATTCTTTTCTTGAAAGAGATTAAAATCTTTATGAATTTTGGTTTGAAAAAATGAAATGTAAAATAAATAACAATAAAAAAAACTTTAAATAGTTATTTAATTCATTAATTTTATTTTTATTAAGTTAAAAATAATTAAATAACAAAAAATAAATTAAAAATTATAAAATATATTTTACATCCACTTATCTTTGAAACAAGTAATTTCATTGAAATTCACTAAAATCAACTAAAACAAACGAAAACAACTGATATTATTTGATACCAACTCTGATACAAAAAATTACCCTTAAGTAAATATATTTTGACATAACTGGAACATATTGACTGGTATGATCAATATCGAAATGAAGTTAATAACAATGGTATGAAAACCTCATAAATTGATCAAAACATAAAAACATGAATCTAAAGAAACTAAAAAAGGAAGAAGTAGATATACTTACATTAATGTAAGTCTTATATTTTTTTTATCCTCGATCAAAATTAAATTCATGATTAATTTGAATCAAAATAAGATTTTTAATTTTAACTATTTTAATCTAAAATTTAAAAGAAAGTGTAAGATTTACACTAATATAAATTGATTTCTTCTAGATATGTAATTACTCAAATCCAAGATAACCTAATTCCGAAATTATTTAGACACAAAAGAATCTAAATCGAAAATGATAGGAACATAAAATGATTGAAACTTGAGATTGGTTTGATCAATACTCGTAGTTATATGTACTTGATATTAAAAATGCAAAATTTAATTATCAATTTTATTCTATTATGAAATGATTTGGACCGCAACTTGAGATAACTTGACATAAATGATTAAATCTAAAAAAATCGAAACTTAAAAGAGTTAATTATATTTTTAGTATTTAAATTTTGAAAAAAAATATAATTAATATTTAAAGAATAAAATATATAATTTGCATCATAAATTTTTAAATAATATATTATTTTAATTCAAATTTTAATATTGCTAATTTAACTAACTTTTATGATATTTAAATAGTATAATTATATGTATGTTATTTGTTAAATAAAAATGTTAAAATATTTTATAAAAATATCATGTGGATATTATGTAACAAATAATAATGAGCAAATCATAAACAATTTTTACAGTTTAGATAAAAATATATATTTTAATATTTTTTATTGAAAAAAGATATTGATAATACGTGTGGTGAATATATAATTTGATAATTTTTGTCAAATGTCATGTATATAAATTGATATGATTGACAAGATTAGAGATTAAATTAACATGATACATAATTTAAAATTTTAGAATGTAAATTATTAGTTTTATATTTTAAAATATTATTTATACAAAATTTCCAAAATTTAAATACCACAAAATATAAATCTAAATGATCAAATCCTTATCTATCCGGTTGCAATTTACAAAAACTCGCATCCAACTTGTGAGGTATTATTCGCTTTAACTCAAAAGTCTCATAGTTTTGTCGCACAAAAAGCTCCTCACAAGTTTTGAATTTAGATATTTACATATATATCATATCATATCCACACATTGTTTCAATGTGAGATTATGAGCATTACAATCATCCCACTTTTAAAACTTAATGTCCCTGTCAAGTCGAGTTTATCTATAGGACCAATATCATTCCAAACATTGAGATTCTAGAAGTTGCTTCCACTATGTAATACTAAGCGACTCTCATGGCTTTCACAATATAGCACTTAGTAACTCTCATGGTATAGTACTTAGTTTTCGTCAATTGATGATTGCTTTGATACCATTTGTAAAAATCGACACCAACCTATAAAGTATTGTCTACTTTGACCTAAAAATCTCATGGTTTTGTCTCATAAAAACGTGCATCATAAATTTAAGTTTAGATCTCTACATATATATGTTGGGATTTTACGGGTAGCTTCTCACCTTGTAACATTTAATGACTCCCATGATGTAGCACTTAATTTCCGTCGATTAGTGATAGCTTTGATACTATTTATGGATACCCGCACCCAACCTGCGATGTATTGTCCTCTTTGACTCGAAAGTCTCACAGTTTTATCTCATAAAAAATGTCTCATAAGTTTGAAATTTAAATTTCTATATATATATATATATATATATCATATCATATCATATCCACGCATTATTCCAATGTGATATTGAAAGCATTATAATCTTTTTACTTTTAAAGTTTTACGTTCCTATCAAGTCGAATCCAATCACGGGACCAAAATCACACTAAAAGTTGAGATTTTAGAGGTAGCTTCCTACCATATAGCATGATTTTAGACGTAGCTTCCTACCATATAGAACTTAGTGACTCTCAATGTAGCATTTAGTTCCTGTTGACTGGTGACCACTTTAATATTATTTGTAGAGACTCACACTCAACCTATAAGGTATTATTTATTTTGATCTAAAAATCTTGTAATTTTGTCCCATAAAAGATGCTTAACAGATTTAGGTTTAAATCTCTATATATATATATATATAATTATTATATTTACGTATTCCTTCTTAATGTGAGGATTGAGGGTATTACAATATCCTCAGCTTTCAAGCTATCCATCCTTATTTAAGTCAAGTTCATTATAAGACTAAGATGCACACAAGACATTGGGATTCTAGAGATAGATTCTCATCGTATAATATTTAGTGACTCCTATGGTTCCATCATGTAACATTTAGTAACTTTTATGATGTAACATTTAGTTTCTGTCAACTAGTGATCGCTTTGATACTTATTATGAAAGACCCATACCTAATCCGCGAAAAAATTATATACTTTGACTCAAAAATCTCATGATTTTATCTCATAAAAATATCTCACAAATTTAAATTTAGATCTTATATACATATATATATATTATATATTATATTTACATATTTTTCAATGTAAGATTAATGTCGTTACACATCCTCTGCCCTTTCTTGTCCCTGCCAATCTATTCGGCACATTTCTTTCTGCAAAAGCTAGCAATATAATCAAGTAGTCCCTGATGTGCTAGCCTTGAGCAATTAACAAGTTTCATGTCTCAATTATGATTAATGGCCATCCGAATAAAAGAAAATTTCTAGTTTCTGAATGCATAAAGCTCGACTAATCAAACGCTAGTCTTAAATGGAATTTCATACAGGTAAATCATGGTACAAGTTAAACAAATTATGTCAGGTAGCTTTCCTTAGTTTATAAAAAATCAAATTTGGCCAAATGTGTCAATGTCACAAAAGATGTGATTGGCCAAAAAAAATGATTACATAAAGTTTCAAAAAAAAAATTATAATTCCAAAGCATACTCAAAAAGAATGGGACAACCTCTTTTCTTCCCCATGATTTTGTGCTGCAACAAGACAAATAGAGCCACTATCAAGCTTTGATAAAGATGGAGCCTTGTTGAAAAGCTTTAACATCTGGATGACTTCTTTTATTTTTCTTCCTCAAGCTAATGAAACTGTTATATGGGAAACATTTATGGCAACATCTATCTGATTTGAAGGGGTTTGTTCACCATTTGAGTTGCAATCTTATGAAGATTAAGGCATAGCTTTGGATTTCACTGTATTTTTTATGTGGTGCAATTGAATTTATCATATCATCGTTAAATTTAAATATTAATTTTAATAAGATTTATTCAAAATAAATTTTTTATTAAAATTTTTTTCAATAGCAATTATAACAACTTTTTTTCAATTATAATTATAATAATTTTTATTACTATTTTTAATATTATTTGAGCCAATCTCAGCGCCATTCAAATGGAGCCTAAATTTTCTTCCATCTGCAGCAACCAAAAACTTGAACATGATTGATTAGAGGGGAGGAAAATGGGATTTACCCTGTTTTGATTTTCTAGCTGAAAAGGCCCACGTGAATGTGAAAGCAATGACATGATTCTGAAATGGGAGACGAGGAAGTAAAGAAATAAGCAAAACTTCTTTGGTTGATCTTAGTTGTATTATCTTTAATGTCATTTAGCAGCATTGTCTTTTATTAATGGCAGTGAGCTAATATCTAGTTCTTTTAAGCATCTCACATGATCCTCAGCCCAGGGGACTATGCAGCATGCACCACCCTATATAAATTTCAAATCAATATCCAATAGATAACTTTGAAAATCTTAGCTTCCTATGGCGAAATATAGCCCGTGATATCACCAGTCAAATTTTGATAAAATTTTTCTGCCTTCTGCCTCAAGGACCATCAGCTAGAACGGTTGTCATTTTCTTAATGAACATATTTGACAAATTGAGGCAATTCAACACAGCCATGACATTGGCTCTTACGACATTAAAAACAATGGCAGTGGTGAAATTGGTGTTATAGTAATAAGATTAAAATCAATAATAAAAATATATGTGCTCGGTGAAAACGTATAATAATGGTCAAGGGTCAATAATTTTGTTATATTATCAAGATTCAAATTTTGATAATTTCAAATATAAAAAATATATTTTTTATGAAATTGTTAATTTTAGATTTCGCGGTTTCTTGCAATTCAAATGAGATAATGGATAACTGATATACCGTCATTTTAATTGGGGTTGGAAAAAATTGAATGGAATCAATGCCCTTCAGGGCTGATCTGTAGCTCTCGAAGGAGGGAAATGGTCCTGGGGTTGAAAGATGAGAACTGAGAAAGAATCAAGGGCAACAACCAATCCTATGCTATCCTCAGTCCAAAGAAACAGGATTTGACCTTGTCCCTCTTGTTTCCGCCACTCGCCGACGCTGACCCTCGCGCATTTTTCACCTAACTTAGCATGATATTTTATATAATTAGGACATAACTTGAATAATAAGATGCTGTACTATTAATTCAATCAACTCAGCCATACAGGGATTAATATAATTGTAAAGACAAGTCCGCCTCTCATTGTCGCCTTGAATCTAGATGGTTGAATTGTTCAACCAAGCCACTCCTATAAAATGACGTTTGAGTCTTTTATTATTCAATTGATGATGTTTTCACTCAATTTAGTTTATTTCTCCTTCCTTTAATTCCTTTTTAGAATTTAAAATTAAATTTATTCGTTACGTGTAATCATCTTTAAAAAATAATATCTAGTAAGATTGAGATTCAAAACTTCTTTTATTTCTCGACTCGGAGCTTCTCTGTATATTAAAAAAAATAGATATAAGCCCTGGAAAAGTTTCCATAGAAATGTTTCTTGTGTGCTTACTCAAAATATGGAGGTCTTGCCAGGACTCCCCTGGAAACGTCCTCTCGTTTTTGCAACCAGACAAATTGCTCTTTGCCTAGGTACACACAAAAATTACTATTTGCACTAAGTCCAAATCCAAGGAATCCAAGAAAGTTAGGGAAATATACGAGTACTAAAAGATTCAGGAAAAAAATAACTGTAAGTGCATCTCTCAAGATATAATCTCCATTTGTTGGAAAGTATACAAGTTTCCTTTTAGAAGGAAACATACAGGCACAAAAGCACATGACTGGTAATGATAAAGAAAACTGCTTATAACAATACATTATCTTGTTCCTTGAACTGAAATTATACCATGGAAACTCCTCACTGTACAACAGAAAACTCACCAAAAAAAGATTAAAAAAAAACACGGAAAAAAATGGAGTGGAAAATTTTCTGTCTTTCATGAACTAATTAGTAGCAGCAAATTGGACAGCGGATAAGTCCATTTTCATTACAATCAGGACACCTTTGAAATCCAAACTCACCTTCATTTTCTTCTCCTTCTTCTTGTTCTTCTTCTTTATCAACATCTTCATAATACACTTTACAACTCCCTGAACAAGTCTCACAAGGCACAAACCTGATGTCACCACAAGCCTCACAGGCTCCACAATTGCCTCCACCTTCATCATCCACCATTTCACACCCTTCAACCGCCTTCTCTAGCTGACCTTCTTCATGCATTCGCCTTATTTCCTCAGCTCCACCAATGTATTTTTTCCCCACAAATACCCTTGGCAATCCACCTTTGAACCCTTCCCCCATTAGCTCTTTCAGTTCCTCTTTAAACCCAGAATGCATTGAAACATCTCGTTCATCTATACGAATTCCTAGGCTTTTCAGGATCACTCTAACATGACAACAATCCTCGTATGTCTTCCGAACCCCTCTTAAACTTGTAAAGTACACAACAACCTTATCCTTAAGCTTACAATCTGAAACAACAACCCCATTTACTTTCTTCTCATAATCTTGCTCTTTTTCATTCTCCTGAGGTCTGAGATGAAAAGGGTTATCTGAAGGGAGCTGTTCAAGCGTTTTCCTAAAGCTAGAAATTATTTCCGGGTCAAAATCCATAATCCCCGAATCCGATTTGTGATCATCGTCATCTTCAATTTGCAGCCACATAGACTTTGGAGACACCGTGCCGTTTTCTTTACGTGATAAACTCCTAACAACATCAAAAGAAAAGCTCCTGAAATGACCTGGAGAACGAAGAGGACTGACATCTTCAAGCCCTGCCATCATTTCCCATGTATTGATTGTTTCAGGCTCTCCAGGAGGAGTCCTAATTGGGGTTTTCGGAACAACTTTGTGGATCTTATCTTCAATCATTTTCGACCAAACTTTTGCTTCAATCACTTCCATAGCCAACCCTTTACTCTCCTCCTCGAATTCCTTTACACTCCCATTGATTTTAGTGCCGGATTCCAGATTGCCATTAAATGCTGCAACGTTGATGCTACTGCCATTATTTTGGTGGGTGGCATCTAGCTTGAGTGTGCCTAATGTGGTGGATGTTAAAGCTACAATATGGTAGCTATCGCCCTTGTGCTGAGCCGGATGATGCACCTGCATTGAATAGCTTCTTGGAACAGGTGAATAAGGAGCCTGGCAATGCCGGCATCGTTTTTGCTTGGAACTAGCACAACCCATAACATCCAAAAAAGAACAGAGGAAACAGAGGAAAAGGAAAAGGAAAAACAATGAAGGAAATATGGAAACTTTGGAATGTGATCTGATGAATAGATTAAGAGGACATCCCTGGTTAAATGAGCTGGATTGGTGGGGCTTTGGTGTAGATTAAATCATTAAAAATTGGGAAAGAGAGAAAGAAATGTTGATGATACAACAAAAAAAAAAATCAGAGAATTCCTAGGAAGCTTCTCTTACAGCAAAGATCCAATAAAAAAGATATACTTTTCTTCTTCATTTAGCAGAATAAGTAGTTCATACAATCCAATAAATTAAAAAAGAATTGAAACTTTACAAGGGAAAAAGATCAAACCGAAGATACCCAGATAGGAATTTAGATTAATCAGGTGAAAAGAAGAATTGGGTTGCAGAGATCTTTGGATTTGGATTAGAAAAAAGAGCAAAGAAAGGGTTTCTGAGAAATGATTGGGAAGAAAACAACAAAGGGAAGAAAAAGTGAAGAAGAAGAAAAATGGGAATGGAAAGAAAGTCAAAGAAAGAAGGTTAATATGATTTAAGGAAAGAAAAAGAGGGAAAAGTTTTTAGAAAGATTGATCATTCAACATCATCAGCTATTGCTCCCTCTACAGGAATTCTACAGAGAGAGAGAGAGAGAGAGAGATGGACCCTGGTGGTGACTGAGAAAAGTCTTGTAGAGAGGGAGCTTTTAATGAGAGAGATTAATAGCTTTGCGTTGTATGGGATGGCGTTATAGAAAAAGAAAAGCAAAATATAAATTATAAAAAAAATAAAAGAAAAATAAAAGTTTTTTAGTAGTGCTACTTCTTTTTTAGGTTTATTATTTTATTCCGTATACTAATTTTTTTTATTTTTAGATGCCATTATTAATATTAAAAACAATACCTTTCTTATTTTTTATTTTAAATTTATTTTTTAAACTCTTATCATTTTTATAAACAAAAAAACTTTATGATTTTGGTTTACTATTTAATTTAAGAAGTGATTAATGATTTTTTTTTTTCTTCAAATTGGATTCAAATCTTGATCTTGTTTTGAATAGAAAAATCTTGTAATGAACCAAATACATAATGCAATGTTTTCTACTAAAAAATGTTGGTTTAATGAAGCTATTAACTAGTAACTATTTTAGCTGATAAAAGTTTTTGAAATTGTATTATAAAAAAAAATTAAATTGTAACAAATAATTTGGGATAACAACTTAATTTTAGCAAAAGAGATCATGGTTACTGGATTTGAAATTTATCCAAAGAACAAAACATATTTTGGGTTTGATTTTTCACTTTCCTAAAATTGTTAACTTAAAAAGCAAAAAAAAAAAAAAAAAAAAAGCCCATTCCAAAAAAACTCTAGCTAAAAAAAAATTAAAAAAGACTTAAATTTAAAAAAAAAAAAGGGGGGGGACAATTTTAAATAATTTATATAATTTATCATTTTTTATTTTGTTTTTGTAATCAATGAAGCTCATTACTTTTATTGTATTTAGAAAAATAAATAAATACTATAACGTCCTTTGTTTTGATACAAAAGTCATAAATTTTTTTTTAATGCAAAAAGAATCTTAGAAAATGGTTTATAAATGGACAAATGAAATGTCATTTTTCATTATTTGCAATTTACATTTCTAAAATACTTTTTTTTTTAATTTTTACCAATTTTCTTTGTCTTTGCTTTATGATTTATTAAATACGATATTATCTAATTTAAAATAGAATTTCAATGGCAATTTTAAAATTGTTGATTTAAAGTAAGGAATGGGAGGAGCTATAATAGAAATTATTTCATTTCCATTAAAACATAAAAAAAAATATATTTAAATTGTATTTCAAAAGTTTATCTAAGTATTTGAAATTTATTCTTTAGCTTAAATCTCGAAGAATTGAATTTTGAAAATGAAAAGAGATTTAAGGGATGGGAAAATTTTAATCCTTTTGCATTCAAAAATTGGGGTTTAAATATGAATAAAAATGAATTGAAACAATAAACAAATGAAGGCAATACCCCTTTTTTATATTTGAGCCTTTTGCCTTTTTTTTTATTTTAATCTTTTGTGGTATCAAATAAACTTTTTTTTTTTAAATCATGATTTGAAAAGGTAATAATGGCGTGGGAACATCATTCTAATTGCACATTATTTAAAGTTTTAAAGTGCCAAAGTGTAATTGAAGCTCAATCCCAATGGTTACTTTTTCTTACCAACAACTTATGGTAGCCATCAATATCCCTATTACTTTAACGTAAGAATGTGTTGATTCCATTTTAAGAGAAAATTAATTGCCCTTTAGGCTTTAACAAGTTCATAAATTAATTGTTAAACTTTTTTAATGAATTAATATAAATTAATTGTTTTAAAAGTTCATAAATTAGTTTAATTTTGGTTGCTATAACACTAAGTTATATGTCTATATAATAAACTAAATACGATTTTCTTTGCTCCAAGTCTTTCGATTTTAAAATTTGAACTTGAAATCTTAAAATTAAAGATCCAATGTCTTGTATTTTTTTCGAGTCCCTACTTTTTCTTAAGATAAATAAATTATTTTTTTGATTTCTAACCATTAAGTCTATTAGTTGAAGTTTAGTTTTATTAATGTCACATAAATTCGATAGCTGCCTAAGTTTTTCAAGGTAAGATTATATCATTAATTAAAATATGTAAAAAAAAAAAAAGTCTAATAATGGAGTATTAAGGTCTAGTTTGTGCAATTAATTTGGTTTAATAATTAATGCCATGAAAAACCATTGTTATTGCTCAACTAAAAATAAAGCTAGAATTTTGCCTACTTATTCTAACCACATGCTATTGTTTTGCTTTAATTTTGATGATGAAATTAAATAAGGTAATATAGTCTCCTAACATGATTCTTAATTTAGATATTCATATAATTGGTCTTAAGAGTCATTTAGTAAATTTAAAATTCAAATATCAATACTTATAATTCATTTCAAAATTTAAATCTTAATATCTGTAATTTATTTTTCTATCATTAGATTACGATATTTTTTGTATAAAAATATATAATTTTTTTAGAACATTATACACCTTAATTATACTATTAAGGTTTAAATTGAATTTCATTTGTCTTATGTGATTTTATATCTACATTAATACCTCATGTAGTTTTCATCATTAATTACAAAGGGTTTAATTGTGTCCCTAAATTTTTAAACAAGTCTTACTTGCTTTTATTTTATATTATAGGGACATTTATATATATATATATATATATTTCTTTTACAAGAATATTCTCAATTTAAGTAGAATTAACAATTATTGTGGCAAAAAATTCATACTATGAAATATAGAAAATCTATACATTTTCTACTCTATTTTGGTGATAATAATCTATAGGGAAATTTTTACTAATTTCAAAAAAAAAAATGACGGCATCATGCCATATAAGAGAGGAAAATTAATTTTTTTGGATCAAACAAAAGAAAGTAAAGTAATATTTATCCTATTTTACTTTTTTTTTTTTACTTTATCTTTTAGAATATGTAGAAGATAACTTTTTTTTTATAGATAAAATAACCATTTTTTTATTCAAGAAACAAGAGATAGACTGATGCAATAATTCAGACAATATATATTACATTTACAATAACTACCCTTTATAACAAAATTAATATAAAAAATAAAAAAAAAGTTGAGAAGGGGGCCATGGGGTTGTGAAAAATATTGGGTGTCTAAAATGGTAAAATCCTTTTGAATTAAAAAATGACAAAAAAATTATTTAATGAAAATTAATTTTTACAGCAAGGATTACACGTGCACCAATGCATGGGGATTGGTTAATGTAATTATTACGTGACCATAGAATGGCTTACCCATGTCCACGTGGTGGCACATGTTAAAAATTGAGAGGAAAAAACAATAATAAACAAAAAAAAGAAATTGCTTGAACTTCTTCAATAATGGCTGCCCCTCATGGGGAGGCATGAGCTTTTATAAAGGTGAATGTTTGCATTGTGTTTTTTTCTTTAAAAAGGAAAAAGAAGCTTGCAATTTAAAATTCATATTATTTAATTTAACTTCGACAAGTTTTATTGTACAACTTCAAATTTTAATAATTTAAAAGGTAAACATGTTTTTAATACTCACTTGTATCTTCAAAATAAATTAATCACATTTATTTATTTTTATAATACAATCTAAGATATTTTTAGATTTTATTTAAACATAAAATATTTTTTAAAATGATTTTAAAAATGTACTCATCATATCAACATAAAATATTTTAAATTTTATTTTTAAAATATTTCCACAATGATTTTAATCACATTTATTTATGCATAAGTTTCATGTGATTTTCTAGTATAATAATTAATATCTATGTTTAAAAAATTAAAGGTAGGCTAAAAGCAAATAAAAGTTATTCCAATTTAAATTATATAAAAGAAAAATTATTTTATGCATTATCAATAAAGTTTTTTTAATTTTACAAAAAAAATTTAATAGGATGAAACATATCTCTTTTTTTAAATTAAATTGTTTATTTGAAAAATAAAAAGATAATTTTGTTAATTTTAATAAAAAAACAAATGAATTCAATAGAAAGTGAAAAAAATATAAAATAATATAATCCTGTTTTATAATCTTGTGAATTATTAAAGAGTAAAATGAATATGTAAGAAAATTTTGATTAAAAACTTGTTATTAAAATTAGTACTTTTTAAAAAAAAACTTTGATTTATATCTTCACATGAAAATTTAAATTTATTTGCCGCATAAATTAAAAATTTTGAAATAGATAAACTCTTTTCATGTATAGAACCAAACAAGATTTAAATTCAAGATCAAACAACTTCACAATCAAATATTAAAAAAGACTTCTCTATGTTCCACGAATTTAAGAGTATTGCATTAAAGTAGGTGGAAGCTTTAAAAGACATGAATGAACTTGTGGACATGAAAATGGGAGAAATGATAAATTTTATAATAACATTTCAATAGTTATTAATATTTTGCATTTTAGCCAAAAATTCTCAATTAATATCAATTAAATTACAAAAAAGGTTTAAGATCTTATAATTTATAATAAATCTAGTCATTCTTTTAAAATCAAAATTTTATAAGTTATATTTAGATGGACGATGTGATATAATGAGATTTTAGTTTACTTCCTTTTCAATGAACGAATTTTGTATTTTAATATATGATTAAAGAAGTAATATGACTCGAATTTTTAATATTTGCATTTAAATCTCATATTTTTTTATCACTCCAAATAAATTCCATATGGTTATATGCTCAATGCCCTTTATGTCCATTCCCAAACTTCCAAGTTCTTCATTTTAAAAAAAAACAAATTATTCATTATGTTTAGATTTTACCCTTTTTATTTTAATTTGCAAAAATTATAATGATAAAGTAATATATATATATATATATATATATACACACACTAATGCATGTTGGTCCGAGTGATGAAAAACTCAATTTTCTTTAAATAAAATCTTAGTTTTGAATCTTACAAATAGAAAAAATAAATTTGAAAGAGTTTGTCCTTCTTTATAGGATTCGATTCAACTCAACTCCAGATTAATCGAAGTCCAAAGTAGTTATCGGATATCGGGATCCCAGACCAAAAATATATATAATTTTATTTTTTCAACTTTTTCATTTTTTTACCAAATACACAAATGAAAAAATATTTTCTTTATTTCTACTTTTTTCTTTCAATTTTTTATATTTTTATTT